ACACGTGCGACACCAAAACCGCTCGCTCTCATGTATCGCCGGGTGCGACACCAATGTCGTAAGATTTTATACGTGGTCGGGCCATGGGACGAGCTTGCCAGAGCACCTCAAAATCCTAGGACCGGGGCTGTCCGCAGCGACTTAGAAGATGGTGAGGAAGTCATGGCGGCCTCACCCCGCTGGCCGTGCGTCCCGCTGCAGGGGGGCCTCCGCCAGGCGCGACGCCTCAACTCCGCCCCATCCCTGTGATCGTCTTTGGTGTCTGACGGCTAGACCGTGCCCTCCCCGATCCGAAGTTCCCCACGGCCGGTGCTGCCCTCCTCCAGGGCCCACCACCGATCATGCTCGTGGTTGCACATCGGCGTCGGTGCGCCGTCCCCATCGCGCACCACGCATAGGCGAGTGACGGCGTGGCAGGCTGACGCCGATGCCGGTGCTGTGCCACCCAGGGAGAGTCCCCACATCCCCAAGGTTTGTTCGTTTGTGGCACGTTGTACTCTCTTCCCCTCCCGTCCCTCTTCTCTGTAGCCGGATCCGTTTTAGATCGTTTGAAACTCATTTTAGATCGGATCGAAGGACTCGAGGAATTGCAGGGAAAGGATTTGAGTATGGATTTCGAGCTGCGGCAGGCATGGAAGAAGTTGGAGCATGGGCAGTAGGAGCGGATGCAGTGCGCCAAGGCCAAGGCCGAGCACGAGCGCTGAGGGAAGGCCGAGGCGGCGCGCCACCGGAAGCGCTCGAGGCATCCCACCACACTCGGTAATGCTCTGGTGACTCCAGGTGCGATTCTCGATAGGGCGTCGCTGGGCTTCATGGTGTAGGTCTAGATCGCTTGCGTTTGATTGTCTCTTGGGTTGCCCCATTGTGATTTGTCTGTCTGATTTGTGTGATGTAGTTGAAGGCTCCAGTTATTTTGGTGGGGTGCAAGCTGGACCTGAGGGACGCACAACAGGTTAGCCTTGAGCAGGTTATGGCGCCCATCATGCCGTCCTTTCGCGAGGTTTTGAGACCTGCATTGAGTGGTCCTCTTCAGTAGATCCAGGTTACCCCGCATCTTATTATACTTGATTGGGTATTTGTACCCCCAAATGTCTTATACTTACCTTAGGGATATCTGAACTTTTGTCAGACACATTAGAATAAGGCTGGTAGTGTTCCAGACATGAACAGTGTGTTTGCCTAATGTGTTAAAATTCTTGGCATTTTAAAGTTCTGATTAATAATTATGGATGTTGACTTTTTTGGGTAGGTGCCTCAGGTCTTCTACTATGCCCAGAAGGCTACCCAACTGCTCCACTTTTTGATCAAGAGTTACAATCTCTAAAGCCCCAATGTGTGAGGCTCTGAGTGATGTGGAGCTCAATGAATTCCAGGTTTATGTTCATGAAGGCTACCATGCTTTCTATCTAGCATGTTTCTGGCGATGTTGAGGTTCTTATTCTTATTGCTTTGCAGGTCTGATGTTTTGGTGCTCCTCTATAGACTACTGAAATTTCAGGAGTCAAGAGAGTTGTTTAGGAGAAGATGCCTTAAGGCATAAATGAAAGCGGCCTTACCTTGACTGGGTTCCTTTTTCTGCATGCCCTATTTATTGAAAAAGGTCGTTTGGAAACTACATGGACTGTATTGAGGAAATTGGTTATGACAATGACATCAAGCTTAGGGATGATCTCATTGCAATGCCAATTAAAAGAGCTCGTGATCAAGTATAGTTTGCAGCTCACTGAGATACCTTGCTTTTTAATAAAAAAATTATCACTACATTGTCATATCTCTTTCAGAACTGTGTCTATCATCTAACCAGCGACATATGCCTTCATATGGTTGTGTAGTTACTACTACACTTGCTTGGCCTGGTGTAGCATGAATAGAATTTAAAAAAATTATACTGCACTTGGTCTACTGCCAGGTCTTTGATTTACCTTGGCAAACTAATATATATCCCATAGGTAAAGTGCAATGCATTTTATCTTAACCGTGCAACAGTTCTGTCGTATCTTTTTACATTCCTTCTAGCATGTCCTTAGTCCTCACAGATATACTGAAAGTCATGGTCCATTAGAATTTCAGGTTGAGAGGTGCTTATAACTGTATACATCAATTAGGTATGGTATTTAGGCTTTGCGAATGTTGTTGAATTTGCTCACTTAATGTTACTGTCACTTTTGAAATACTGACGCTAAATTGAGTTTGGTAGGCGTTAATTCAAGAGCAACTAGCAACTGAATCGTCTTTTCTTTCCCAAAATCATATCATAAATTCAGTAAAGTTGATTTCAGATATAGACATAGCACATTAGCTGGCTAATTTGTATATCGTGCAGTAGACTGAGGAAGATATGGCCAACAAAGAAAAACAGAAAAGAAGCTACCATAAAAAAAGGACTTATATTGTACACCAATTCATATGGTAGAATGCATTTTACTTTCTGCTTGCAGTCTGCATGTTCTTTACTTCCATGCCTGTGTCTATCTTATTTTTTGTTTTGCATTCTGAAGCACTTATTAGTGCCTTCCTACTAAAAATGTCCTCTATTACCTTGTCAGACTTGTGCTATGGTGTACAGGGTTGTTCTGTATTTCTTTCATTTCAATGTCCTATATCTTAGCAAATGCATTGCACAGGTCAGTAACTAATGGGCCTCAGGGTCACTCATGTGAAATCATTGTCAAGGTACCACATGAATTACCTAAAACAAACATGCCCCAATATCCTTCTACATTTTCAGACTATCATTTTTACCAATCTTTCTAGAACCCACCTGCTTCAACTACACTATTGAAGTAGCTGTTGGGGTCGAAAAAATTATGTATGCATTGGGATTTCTATGAATTTTGTGTTGCATGGCTTCTTTGGACATTTTGTCATGTGGGTTACTCTATGTCTATTCATCCTCCATTGTTTATGTTTTTCCTTAATATTGAGTGGCAGGATGCAGATGAAGTCCTTTGCCGTGCGCCCATGTAGCCCTCCCTGAGTTAACGCCTCTGTCTCGCATTCACTAGGGTGGCCGGGTGGGAGTCACTGCCCTCTTGCCACATCTGACAAAGAGCTCCAATGATCTGGTGAGTAGGCTTGCTTTTATTTCCTATACTAACGCCTTTGATTTGAAATTAAGTTTCCAGACTTTATGTTAGTCAGGATAATACATTAGTGTAGTTTGCTGGATTATCAATGTCATTGTCAGAATCAGGTAATAACCAAGTAAGGGGAAAACTTTTCTCAGGTAGGAAGCCCCTGCAAATGAATACAATAATATTTTAAAAAGGGTGACTAATTATTAAGGACAAAAAAGATGCCCTCTTTACCATTCTACATGAGTTTTTTTAACTGAATACTACATGAGTTTGACTTTTGACAGAGAGCCCATCTTCTTTGAGTACACTGACATGATCCACTTTTTTTTGAGAGTACAAGGTAAGTCTGCTATTGGTTGGAGAGTAATAGTTCAATAGATCATTTTAGTTTTCAAATGTGGTTATGTCGAGGAATACCTGCTTGATGCGACTAAATCATTTTAGCTATATCACGGGTCGACAAAAAATTATGGATACAGGGAATTTCTATACATTTTTTGTTGCATGGCTTCTTTGGCACTTTGTCATGTTGCAAGGTCTAACTATTTCGTTCTTTGCCATGGTTTTGTTAACATGCATTCAAGTCATTTTCACGAGATTTGACTACGAGATCCTGACTTTGTTAGTTGGCCATTGTAGATTACTTTGATGGGTTGATTAGCTCTTTGTACGACACTTCTGCAACATGTTCCTTGTCAGTGGTGGCTTTCTTGCCAGCTGTGGCTGCAATTTTGCAGCTGAGATCATAGAATAGAAATAAAACATGTTTGCCAATTGAATTAGGAAGAGTTTTCAGGATGTTACCACTCCTGCCATTACATATTGGTAGGGTATCGCCGTACCAACACGAAATGGAAGATGAATAAAATAATGTGAAGGATAGATCACTACTGTCCTTTATATGAGATGAATTTCTTGTAATACCATCTTTTCTAACTTTACTGGAATATAAGGGCCTGTTTGGTTCCAAATAAGTCACCTACTTATAAGTTAAAAAGTAAAAAATGACTTATTTTGTCAAACACCATCAACTTATAAGTCACCCCTGCTTATAAGTTTTAAGTTGGTTCACCCCTGCTTAAAACTTATAAGTCACCCTTTTTCACGTGGGGCCCACATCTTTAATGAGCTTATAAGTCATCTACAACCAAACAGACATGACTTATAAGTCACTGGTTTTCAGTCACCTGACTTATGGAAACCAAACATGCCCTAATATAGGAAAGCTGCATTAAGAGTGCTGCCCTTTTATTGGGTATTGGCTTATAGATTTTTTACTGGTTATGGAATATAAGAGATGAGTATATATTTCAATGGTTTAAGGTGTTTTCTTAAGGTGATTGATGGTTCCTTATAGAGACTGTTGAAGAAAAGCTGAGAAATCTGGTGAAATGTTGCAATCACATAAAGAAATAACACTCTAGGCTAATATGTATGATTAAGCTTAAATTGTTCCTGCTATTATTTTGTTCCTGTTGCAACGTATGGACATAATCCTAGTGGAATTAAAAAATTCTTATAAAAAAGATGCATTCAAATGACAAGCATAAACCTTCCGCACATCATTGCTTCCCTAGACCGCGCCTAAACACCAGTACCACGAACACGAATATCGACGCTTATCGGACGGCTACATGCCCACCTCGCGTACACCGGGTGCACCCAGAGACCACCAAAAGTCGCCGCCGCTCTCCGCCGGGCGAAACCCGCGAGGGTCAGCGCTATAAATATCCGACCTCGTCGGAACCCTACCCTTTTGAGAACTCCCCTTCTCCGCCACTACCCAAGCTCTCCCTTGTACCCCTCACCGCCGCCGCTGCTGCTAGGGAGCATCCATCCGCGCGCCTACAACGAGAGCTAGCAGCAGTAGCGGCCGCTATCTTGTCGCTCCGGCTCCGGTGGTGTACCCAACCCCCAGCCCAGATGCCGCAGATGGACGGGCCCGCTGATCAGATCGCCGCCGGCTGGTTCGCCGCGGAGCCGGCGGCCGAGCGGCCCGTGGGCCTGCCCAGGACCGGCTCGTCCAGTCGCCTCAACGCTCAGGCGCCGGAGTTCGTGCCGCGGGGGCCGCCGGCGCCGGCGCCGGCGGTTGTGGTCCCGCCTCCGCCGCAGGTGATCCGCATGTTCGCCGCGCCTCCCCCGCCTCCGCGGGCTGCCTTCTTCGCCGCGCCGCCGCCCCGGCCGTTCGAGTACTACGCGCCTGTGGGTGGACGCAGCGGATTTGCTGCCAAGGAGCAGCAGGCGCCGGAGCCTGAGCCGGAAGCGGAGATGCTCCCACCCGCTGCGGTGAAGGCGGAGCCGGTGGTGGATGGGCTCGACGACGAGGTGGTGCTCAAGATCACCAAGCAGGTAGGTGTTGTTTTACCGGTTCATATGTTCAAACCAAGCCGATTTGAAAACATATCTCGGGAATCTGTTACTAAATTATGTTTCAGACTTAAGTCTTTTACTGGTATGAACCCGGGTTTATGCTTGTTTTGAGTGTATATATACAAGAAATTTTGAAGTTGTATTGGTCAATACTTCAATATTATTATCAGTTGGAATCAACTCGGTATCACTAATAACTAAGACATTGCTGTGCTGAGTTTTCTCAGTAATGGCCAAGTTATGTGAGAATGTTAGATCTGCATTTGGGTGTTGACCTGAATGTCCTGAACATACATTCTAGTTTTGCTTGCTAATGATCTCCTTTGGAGCATGTCATCGATGTTTCCTTTGATACTTTCAAGTGGTTGAAAAATTTAAGAATCCTGCCATTTGTTGTTGTAATTATGCTTTAGATTGAGGGAGTCATTCCTAGGGCCTATCTGCAGAATGTTGTTTTTTATGAATGGAAAAAGTAATATTCCAGGAAAACTGGGTACTTTCTCTAATCACAAATATATAAGTTCATCTAGGTTTGTCATAGAGTTTGACTACCGATATGAAAATTTTATACAGATTGACCTCAAAAGATTTATTACGAGAATAACTTCTACAATATATAAAATCTTTTCATTTGATATAATACATTCTTTTAGATACTGCAAGCCAAAGTTAGAAATGTTTGACTTAGGACCAATCTATAGATGGACTTATTTGTGATCAGAGGAATTATTATAGTATGGGGGAGGTAGATAAAAAAGTATGCAATTTGTTTTGGCTTCTCTAGATACATGTTTTTTTACTATGTATTAGACGTAGTGAATATCTAGGTGCATATCAAAATCTATGTATGTAAATGACTTACATTTTGGGACGGAGTTTGATCCTCGCGCTGGTGAGTTACTCTGTGATCCTGCCGCCCGGAATCAGCGCATGGCCTCCATGGAATTTGCATGGACACATTTCCAGCGTACTACGCCAGGAAGTGAATGAGCCATAGGCAACGAGAGTCGTACCACTAGTTTGCATGGCGCCATGCAAACACGTTTAGGCTCCCGTGAAAATTAATTCTCTCCGTTGATGGATACCTTGGATGGCCCATATGCCTTTTTATCGGGCTTTTTTTTTTCAAAACTCCCAAATGCCTTACAAAGTGGACCAGAGGGAGTAGTTGACACCATGCTGTTCATATTTTGGTTGTGCAATATACTTTTTCAACTGCTCATGATTTGTCATATTGTTACTTCTCATTATCTTTTGTTTATGCAACTCCTACTATTGTGTTCAGGTCATTGTTCAGACATTAAAAACTTCTAACACCACAAAATTCCAACTTGAGTGAATTCCTTGTTTCCATGTTCAGTTGAACTTCAAAGACTAAATTTGGATAAGTTGAATTTAGTTAGAATATGTTTTGTCCAAGTATTGTTAGTTTCAGCTGCTACCACTTTGTTGTACTTTTTTTTTGCAAGCATGCCTTTTTTTATCAAATGGACTGGTATGTAAGCACTTTGTTTTGTACATGAAAAATTACAATATCTATATACCCTATCTTCCCTTGATGTTTTGATAGTAGTGTCCAATTTTTGTTTTCCATAGGCTCCTTAAGAGCATCTCCAACAGTATCTAAAAAATTGACTCCTAAAAACCTGGTTTTGGAACCTTTCTAAAAACTATTGGGTACGAAAAGAATATGCTCTACCAACAGTTCCCTTTTATTCGTTACTAAAAACATAAAAACGTACACGTTGTCTCCCGTACATACCGGCTTGGACAAAATAACTCGCTGTCGTGGCCGGATATCCCAACACCCTAGCTCACACCCAGTGTCAAGGACCTGGGCTCCTAGAGTTGGAGGCCCCTGACTTCTCAGCTCATAACTCGAACCAGGTAATGGAGGTGCCAGGGTTTTTGCCTGACTACCCCAGCAGGAGGTGAGATTAAGAATAGCAGAGAAAGGGGAAGATGAGGGAGTAACTTCTTTTCTTCTCTTCATTCAACGAGTACAGGGGGTACATATAGGAGCTTAGCTCCACTGCTACTTGCGCCAGCCATTAATTGCTAGCTGGCTAATTAATTCCTTAATCTCCTCAACTTCTACTTAATTGCCTTAAAGATCGCAGCCCTCTCCACCGCCTAAGCCTCCTTGGGTTCTTCTAGGCCATGCGCACCCTTGGGGGCTGCCACAGGCACACCTCGTCCGAGGTCGGTGGTCAGATCTTGTCACCCCCACATGACATCTCTCCCTCGACGAAGCAGCTCTCGTCCTCGAGCCGAAGCTTGGGTAACGCCTTCGGTGAAGCTGCCAATGTCCTCCCCAGGTAGCGGAGGCTGAGGGCTCGCCTTGCCAATGTTCAGGACTTTGCGGACGCCTCGGGCCAGCCTGGTGCGTGAGGCGCGTTCTGGAACTGGCTGTGTGGCGCCATGATGCATGGGGGAGGCGAGCCGGGGTGTAGGGATTGCCCACGAACTTCTTCAGGAGCCCGACGTGGAAGACATCGTGTAGCCGGGCGCGGGGAGGGAGCTCGAGGCGGTAGGCGACGTCGTTGATGATGGCAGAGATGCGGTATGTGCCATAGTACCGGGGCCGCAGCTTTCCTTTGGTGACGCCGTGGAGGGAGGCCGGGGCACGATGGCGGAGACGAAGCCAGACCCAATCACCCACGCTGTAGTGAACGTTGCGGTGATGCTTGTTGTAGAACCGCTTGTAGACGTCCTGAGCTTGCTCCAGCCGGGCCCGGGCATCAGCCAGCATCTCATCGCGTTCCGCCATGGTCTTGGCCACCGCAGCCACCCTGGTTTCACCAGGCTCATAGGAATGGATGGAGGGTGGCACACGGCCGTAGACGAGTTGGAATGGCGTGGTGTTGAGCGCGGACTGAAAGGCGGTGTTGTAGATGTATTCCGCCCATGGCAGCCAGCGCAGCCACTGACGGGGGCGATCGCCAGTCAGGCAGCGCAAATACATGACGATCACCTTGTTGGTTGCCTCTGTCTGGCCATCAGATTGCGGGTGGAACGCCATCGTCATGTGGAGCTTGACTCCGGCGAGGCGCAACAGCTCTTTCCAAAAAATGGATGTGAACACCGGGTCCCTGTCCGAGACGATGGACTGCGGAATACCGTGCAGGCGCACGATGTCGGAGAAGAAAGCCTGCGCCACGGACTCCGCTGAGTAAGGATGGGCCAGTGGAATGAAGTGGTAGTATTGGCTGAACCGATCAACAATGGTGAGGATGACGGATTTGCCTCCCACGCGCGGCAAAGCTTCGATGAAATCCATCCCGATGTCCGCCCATACTGCTGTTGGCACCGGCAGGGGAAGAAGGCCTGCTGGGTGCAGGTGCTCGGACTTGTGGCGCTGACAGGTGGCGCACGCGCGCACATAGTCCTGGACCACGGCACGCATGTTCGGCGAGTGGAAGTCACGGGGGAGGCGCTGGAGTGTGCATTGGACTCCTTCGTGGCCGTCATCGTGAATGGCAGCGTTGAGTTCCTGGAGGAGGGGGGCGCCAGGCGGGATGTAGAGGCACCCTTGGAACGCGACCAGCCCATCGACGAGGGACCAGGGAGCCACGCGCTGGGAGGAAGTGATCTCCTCCTTGATGGCGACCAGCGCGGGGTCCTGAACATTAGTTTGTCGCAGGCGCTCGATGAAGTCAAAGCGCGGTCCCGAGAGCGCCAAGATCGCTGCCTCCTCTGTGTCATGGCGGGACAGGGTGTCGGCTACCGTATTGGTGCTGCCCGCCTTGTATTCCACAGAGAAGTCGAAACCCAGCAGCTTGCCCACCCAATGGTGCTGGGGAATGGTGGCTAGCCGCTGATCCAAAAGAAACTTGAGGCTGAAATGGTCAGTACGTACCAAAAAGCGGCGGCCCCAAAGATACGGCCTCCAGTGGCGGATGGCCAGCACCAATCCAATCAGCTCCCGCTCATATGCCGCCAAGGATTGATGTCGAGGGGCAACAGGGCGGTTGAAGAAGGCGATGGGGTGCTGGTCTTGGAGGAGAACGGCCCCAAAGCCATGCATCGAAGCGTTGCACTCAACGATGAATGGCTGCGCGAAGTCGGGCAGGGCCAGTACCGGTGCCGTGGTGATGGCCGTCTTGAGGGTGATGAAGGCTGCGCCCGCTGCCTCATTCCAGGTGAACCCCTCCTTCAGTAGGGCCGTCATGGGGGCTGCGATGGCGCCAAAATCCTTGACGAACTTGCAGTAGTACCCCGCAAGCCCAAGGAAACCTCGGACCGCGCGCGCTGAGCGGGACTGCGGCCAGTCAGCGACGGCCTGGACTTTATCAGGGTCCATGGCCACCCCCTGTGCTGAAATGATGTGCCCCAGATACGCTATGGAGTCAACGCCGAAGGCACACTTGGACCTTTTGATGAACAGCCGGTGTTGATGCAGCACGGCGAGGACAGCGCGCACATGGCGAAGGTGTTCAGCCAAGGAGGCGCTGTAGATCAGTATGTCGTCGAAGAAGACGAGGACGAAGCGGCGCAGGAAGGGGCGGAGAACGTCGTTCATCAGTGCTTGGAATGTTGCTGGGGCGTTGCACAGCCCGAACGGCATGACGAGGAACTCATAGAGCCCATCGTGGGTTTTGAACGCCGTCTTCTCCACGTCAGCTGGGTTCATGTGAACCTAATGATAGCCGGAGCGGAGGTCTAACTTGGTGAAGAACCGGGCGCTGTATAGCTCATCCAAGAGCTCGTCGACCACCGGAATGGGTAGGTGTCCTTGACTGTAATAGCGTTGAGGGCCCGGTAGTCGACGCAGAAGCGCCATGTTCCATCGGCCTTCTTGACCAGCAAGACCGGGGAGGAGAACGCCGATGTGCTGCGCTGGATAAGCCCTTGTTCCAGCATAGTGGTGCACTGGCGCTCCAGCTCGTCTTTGTGGGAAGCGGGGTAGTGTTAGGGCCGGACCACCACCGGCGAGGACCCCGGGATAAGGTTGATGCAGTGATCCCCCCAGAACCTTCTTTATTGCTTGCTGTACCTCCTAGTATTCTCATATTTGTAAATAGTGTCCGGGAATCCAATTCCGACGAACCTCAGGCGGTGGCGGTAGTCTGGCCGTGGCTGGCTATCCCGACACCATAATTCACACCCAGAACCTGCAAAGTAGAATCTCCGTTGTCTGAGTATTCTCAGATCTAAAAATAGTGGCTAGAGATCCAATTCTGGTGAACAACCAGGTGGTGGTGGTGGTAGTCAGGGACTCAGGGGCAATAGAGAGCGCTGAGGGAAAAAAAACAGACAGGGAGTATTGGTCATCCGCGTATCTTTCTGCGTGGATGTCTCCATTTTCCCGAGCGCGGATAAATTGAGAGTTAGGAACTTAGGATAAGGAACTGTTGGAGTGAGGCTTTTCTCCATCGTGCCAAATAAACAAGATTCGGAGTGGGTTTACCAAACTGTTGGAGATGCTCTACTGTGAAGATCTTTAACTTGTTTATCGAGATTCGGCTGGAGTTGTGGTGCAGTATGCTGCTGTATTGTTTTGTGAGTGCAGTTCTCGGAGATATGCCAACACAATTGTTGTTTATTGTAATGATTTGACATATATCTATCTAATAATGACATCAAATTTGAAATATTCTGTGATGCGCTGGAATTTCAAAAGGCAAAAATTATTTGAAGTGCTAGAGAAGATCCAAACAAAGTGGATAGCGCTTTTTAGTTGTTTAGGACCAGTTTCCTTTTTCTGCTATTTTTACTAGTTTGATTTGATTAACTTAGCATACAATTTGCATAATGCTATTTTGTAGGTGGAATACTATTTTAGTGACATCAACCTTGCAACTACAGAACATTTGATGAGATTCATTACCAAGGATCCTGAGGGATATGGTGAGTTGTATATTTGTAGCTGAGCTACATTTTTTAAAGGACACTTCATAATAGGATGATTGGGATCTACATGTTCCTAGTTCCTACTCGTGTCTTTTTTTTAATAAAAAACAAAAACCAAAGAAATTGCTGGAGCAAACAACTTTAAGCTAAATGTATGATTACTTATACTTGTTCCATCTCGTTACTATGTCTTTCTCTAGCAAAGAGAAAAATCGAGTTTTATTTCTAAAGCAAAAAGAGGAAAAACAGTGATTATTGGTCATTTCCTTTATGCTGGTTAACAAGGGCTGCCCTGTCCTTCACGTTTTCAACAGTGTAGGAATCTTGTTTGGTCAAGCAGGAAAACAACTATATATTATGGCTCAGGACTAATTTTCCTTGTTTACAAATCGCAGTGCCAATATCAGTAATTGCTGGTTTTAAGAAAGTAAAAGCTTCTGTGCATAATAATGTGACGCTTGCTGCGGCTCTCCGAACCTCATCAAAACTTGTGAGTCTATTCATTCTCCGTTCCCAACTGTCATTTGAAGCCAGCATGTTTCTTCGCTTTAAGCATCAACTTTACTTCATATGAAGGTGTAAAATATCAACTCATACGTACTGATTTTGTAGCAAACCTCATGTATATTTGCTTATAAATATCTCATGTTTCAGGTTGTAAGTGATGATGGTAAGAGAGTCAAACGGCAGGAGCCATTTACAGAATCTGATTTGCAGGAGCTCCAGGTATTAACTGATTTCGCTGCATCACTTGTTTTATTTCGTAAATTTGAGGTTGCACACTGATCCATTTGGTTTCCTCTCGTAGTCCCGGATTGTTGTTGCAGAAAATCTTCCTGGTGATCCCTCCTACCAGAATCTTAAGAAGATATTTTCAGCTGTTGGCAGGTATGGTTATTTGCAACATGGCAGCACTTTCATCTTTTTTCCTTCCCAGGATCATTAAAAAAGTAATATTTTGTCATGTTCCAGTGTGATTTCAATTCGAACTTGCTATCCTCAGACTCCAAATGGCACTGGCCCTGCAACTAATAGATCTGCCAAGTTAGATATGCTTTTTGCTAACAAGGTAACTGCCAAGTCCCTGCTTAAGTATTATATTACTGTTTAGTATTTTTCTTACATATCCTGTAATCATTTGTACTGTTTTTTTTATTTTAACCCTTTTTTCGAAATATTCACATTTATACCCCTGGGTGTCTTATTTGCTTTGGACCCCAGGGGTTGGTGCCATGGCGCCGAGCCTTCACCACGTTAGTGCCATGTAGACTGGCCACGCCACCTGGGCCTTGAAGCCCAGCGCCATGGCCTATGGAACCTAGACGTGTTAGCTTGGTGCTATGGCCCATGGCGCCGACCCTCGGGGTCCAAACACGCAAATAAGAATGTGAATATTTTTCAAAAAAGGTTAAAAAAAATAGGCCCATTTGTATCTGTTAGAACCTTCCAAATAAATTCTTAACCTGTTGTGAGCCAAACGAATCATGCGCATCTACGGTGCACCAAATTTTTCTAGGGGATGAACATTACTTTTCTAAAATATTACTTATATTACTACATTTACCAAAGGGAAATTTTTTAGCATCAACTACAGATATGCACTTGTCCATTGCCCATCCTCTCTCTAGTTGACAATCCTTTTTTAGCTTAATATTTCCACTCACATAGTCACATGTTCTTTGCTTGTCACTTTAACTCATGGGCATCATTTTGTGGGTTCATCCGGTGCTTTTGTGATTTCTACATTTCATTAACATTGATGCTTTCAGTTGGAAAACTTATCTATGAAGTTCATTATTTGGGAATAATTGTAGCATAGGAGTTTAAAGTTTTCATGAAGTTGGTAGTGTTTTAGTTTAGTTTTTCTCAAAAACATGTTTTAGTTTAGTTGAGTTGCTCACTGTAATCTTCTATTGTGAAGGAGGGAGGGAGGTGGGGGGGATGGGGCAGCTGATTTTAAGTTAGGTACCAAAGGAAGTCCACTAGGAAGGATGAAAACGATGCATTGGTATAGTCAAAAACTTTCCAGTTCTCTTCACTGATAAAAAAAATGTTCACCTATGCCTGTGGTAGTACTCTGGAACAATTATTTTCCTCTAATTTCTGGTCGTGTTGCAGTTTTGTGAAAATAGATTGTTACAAGTGTCACATGATTGAAGTTATCAATGCAAACTTGAATATTTTTTAATTACTTTTGCTGCATATGTGATTTTTGCATTAGCTCTTATATTCATATATATTTACTAATGAGCTGATATTTTCCTTTGAAATAGCTGCATGCTTTCGTGGAGTACGAAACTCCTGAGGATGCTGAGAAGGCAGTATGTATCAGTTCATGTTTTAGATTGCTTTGCATCAGTAAATGTGCAGTTTACATAATTTCCTAACATTAGTTGGTTTCATGAAGATTTTGGAGCTTAATGATGAGAAAAACTGGAGAAATGGGCTTAGAGTTCGGTTGCTGAATACTTGCACGGTAATCATATACTGTATAACTCTGATTTGGGGATTTCACCTTTTGGTCCATCTTGTGTGTTCAAATAGTAAACAATTTGTTTTGTTCGATGAGTGACCTGTTGTTCTCTACATGATCAAATTGGAATCTCTCTTTCCTTAACAAGTTATGATTAAACCCTAGATGAGATCCATGTCTTCATCCTGGACTGCTGTTTAGTTCCTCAAGTTTTTGAAACTTACGTGCCCCTTCGGTTCTTGTACACTTAACTTTTAATGTTCTCTTGATTTAGTTGAAGGGGGCAGGCAAAGGAAAAAAGGGTGTGCATGAAACTGATGGAAATGGTGAGGACGATGTCTCCACTTCGAACCATTCAAACGAGAAACAGTTTGAAGAATCCTCTCAACTGTTAGATGTACTGCCAGAACACTTGGTAAGATACTGTTGTTGTGCCTTCTTCTGAACCCAAAAAACAGATTAGAGCAAAAGGAGTTCATCCCAAAATTTGTACATACTGAATACAAGTGCATTTCTACTCGTGTTAGATACCATCTGATTCCAAATGTAGGTCGTTTAGGACAGTAACATGGCCTTCTATATGACAAAGGACTTGCAACATTTTTAAAATATACCATTCTAAATAGTGAATTATATCTTGTGGAGGTATTTTCCATGATGCATTTGGTAAGATCAACCATTTGTTGTGAACGTTTCATATATTGATCGAGCAAAGTTGAAAATGTTTGACCAGATAGAATCCTGAAACAACCTACATTTGGAATCATGTATCATGTTCAAAGAAGGATCTAGGGCATGATTTTTTTTCTTGCTTGATTTATTTGATTATTGGAGTATATATATTTAGGTTTAGTTATGTACAACATGTGCAACAACAATGCCTAAGTTAGGAATAATCTATGCTCAATTCAAATTTTTACCTTGCTGCTTGTGACATTATTCAGAGGGTTCAGTTCATGATCAAATTGTTCTGTATAATACATCATGTACCAGCCTTAGCTTGATTGGATATAACAGGATTTTTAGCAAATGACATTCGATCCTTTGGGTGCTTTTCAGTTATTAGACTTGGATAGCATTTTGTCTGTCATGACTTTGTGTATCCTTGGAAAGTCTCATAGGGGATAAAGCTTTTCAATAACAAATGCTTTGGGCTGTGTACACTGTACAGTTGATGAGAACTTCAACGACAAGGAAAGCTTTTCAATAACAAATGCTTTGGGCTGTGTGCAGTTTGATGAGAACTTCAACGACAAGGAAGTTCCCAAACGCGGCAAAGGGCGTGGCCGCGGTGGTAGAGGGCGTGGGCGTGGCAACCATCAATATAACAATAACCACCACAATAACCAGCACCACCAGAACAACCAGCAGCACTACAATAACCATGGCAACAACCACCTTGGTGGGAACCGTGGCAGCCCCCACCCTGTTGGCACTCCGCCGCATAACCTGATAACCAAGCCCGAGCAGCACCCGCAGCTGTCGATTGGGGCCAACAAGCTTCCACCAGGCCCCCGCATGCCTGATGGCACTCGGGGTTTCACCATGGGCAGGGGGAAGCCACAAGCTATGCTACCTGGTTTGTGTGCTGTTGGTGAGTCTTGATGTAATGGACTAGTGTTGGTGGTGAGTGAGGGGCATGCGGATTGCTGCTCATATGCTATATCATTTGGTGGGACTATTTGTGTGTGACACTTTGTTGAGTTGCTGTTGTCAAAACCAGATGGTTTGGTTCGTGTGTTACCATCTCTTTGTAGCTGTGTGTCTGCGCAATTTGGTCTTTGGGAACGGGGTATCTATCATTTTTTTGAAAGATTGGTATCTATCATAGAAGAGGACAAGGAATGAGAGCACACTAAATTGTAGTTAGTCCGCCGCCTTGTTTCATCGTTTCGGTGCCGTGTGTCGGCGTGTTGCTTGTTTTTTTTTTGACAACAAACAAGATTTATTATCAGCAGCACCTTGCTGCAAGCCTCCTTACAGAAGACATGTTTACAGACTCCAAAGCAACCCTAAGAGGGCATTGCTGGACATGAGCCGAGTTAGAACACACATGCTGAAAAGAACTAGAAACAGCAGAGCTGTTTAAAGCCTGTTTCGCTAAAGAGTCAGCAGTGGTGTTGAGATTCCTATTAATCTTCAAAATTTTGGATCGGCGCCGACCTGCGTAATTTGCGAACTGCTGGGTGAAGAGTTTAATTCTCCACTCCGGAGGATTGGTTTGATCAGCAACATTGAGGAATTGCACAAGATTCTGGCAATCTGATAGGAAGTTGGTGTTATTGAAATTAAGTAGGTCGTTGATCATGACCGCAAGAGCTAATGAAGCCGCCTCTGCCATGAGTACTGACTGAGTCCCTGCTTGGACGTAGATAGTCTGAGCCGGCTGTACCTACGTGTTCACTCTGATCGTTTGATCGTATCAGTCATGATACAATGTTTTTCTCTCACAACAAAACATCATCAGCCGACTTATAAGCCACAAAACGATCAAGCGAACAGGGTGTAACAAAAAGAATTCCAAGACCAGCCTGCCTGGTTGGCAGAGATGGATGATCAGGTGTGGTCGATGCATGCGTGTCGCTTGAAGTTACGCACTGTTTGTTTGGCTTATAGGCCGTATTTTTTCAGTTAACGAACAATATTTTTCAATCACAACAAATCAGCCAATAGTACTTTCAGCCATGGCTTATCAACCAAGCGAACAGGACATAACTGTGTTTCGCTGTGGATCTTTCATGTATGAACCTGTGTTTACGTTTTACTGCCTCCTTTTAGAAAATGATTCTATTTTTGTATTTAGTCAAACATTTAAAATTTGAATAAGTTTATAAAAAAGACTCTCAATATTTATAACATAAAACATGTATAATATATAAATCTATCTTATGATGAATCTAGAGATATTTATTATCTGACATAATAAATGTTGATATTTTGTATAAACTTAGTGAAGTGTCAAACTTAAAATAATATGGCTTGATACTATGCATATTATCCTAGAATTGCATTCTTTTTCTGGTGTAGGAATTATGTTCAAGCTACATGAATAGTTATCTCAGAGGGAGTTTCTCGGATATAGTGTTTTCTGATGAGGTATATGCCTAGTATTTGTGAACCCTACTTCGGAATTATATAAGGCGCCTCCATTCTCCACCATCATCTATATTTGGCCATGCAGCCCGCGGCCCGCCGGCCCGGCCCGTGGCCCGTTGTTTTGGCCCGCCCGAAGTCGGCTGGCCGGTGGCCACTGCGTGCCCGTCTTGGCCCGGCCGAGACACCGGCCGTGCCTAGGCCGCGCGGCTGCTGGCTGCCTGTGGCATGGCACGGCACGGCACGGTGGATGATGCGGCGGCAGTGGCGGCCGGAAACGGGCCGAAGGCAGGCGGCGGCCGCCAGCCCACCCCACCCCACCCCTCCCTCTCCCTCGTCAGATATAAGCCGTCCGACCGTGGCGCATCCCCTCCCAAACCCTAACCTAATCCTCTCCCCCCATGGCTCTCTCTCGGTCTCTCGCTCTCGCTCCATTGTCCGCTCTCCCATTCTCGATCTAGATCCACCGCCGCCGACGCCGACGCGTTCGTCCGTCCTCCCGAGTCCCGTCACGGTGGCGGTGACCAGCCCGGCGCTCCTCCCCAGTCCCTGCTTCCCGCCGTCTCCTCTCTCCTTTTCCTCTACTCTCACTCCCTCACTCCCTCTCGGTGAACCATGTGAGTGTTCATGGCGAGTCCTCCTCCTCCACCACCTCGCCACCGATTCTAATCCGTGTTCATGTCTATCTCATCCGCCGCTTGGCCTCTTCATCATCGACACACACGCTCTCGGGTACACAGTTGGACTTCTTCCCTAACCCTAACCCTAGATCATCATCTGTTCTTCTTCTTCTCACTTCTTCTTCTTCTTCTTCTCACTTCTTCTTCTTCGATTTCTTCACTTCTTCTTCTTCTTCTTGCGTGCAGGTTGGCGCTTTGACGTCGCGTCTTCCTCCTCTGGAGTAGACATGGCCAGGCCGCCCAAGCGCCCGTTGAGGGGCGGTGCTGGTGCTGCTTTGGAGGTCGAGGTCGGGCACGGCTATCCGGCTCGTCCGCGGGCGGTTCCGGCCTCGCAACGCGGGGGGAGAATCAGCATCCCCTCGGCGACGGCGAGGACCAAAGGCCAGACGCGGATGACTACCGGAAGTCGAGGGGCGACAACGACATACGTGATGATGCAAATGGTCTGTTCGGGCGTTGACCTCGGTGATTTAAGAACCAGCCCATCGATGTCGATGGCGGCGACACAACGATGGTGGAGTTGAGGTATCCACCGACACTCATGGTACCTCCTCCGTAAGAAGAAAGTTTCTGCTTGTTTGGGATTACTTCCATGAGATTAAGGAGAAGGGAATTCGAGTACGTGCCATCTGTAAACATTGTCATGCGCGATACACTGCTAGATCGGCCGCTGGCACTGGCCATTTGAGACGGCACATGAATTCTTGTATGAAAAAACATGATCGAGGCTAGTCTTGTCCGGTCTAAGCTTGCTCTCAAATCGATGGTTTGAACAATTGGGTGTATGATCCTTTGATTGCTCGCCTTTGAGTTGTGCCGCTTTGATTGCTAGGCTAGACCTTCCTTTAGGGATAGGTGAGGCCGATGCTTGGGAGGATTACATTAAGCGTGCTCATAATCCTCTGTTCCAAAAGGTTTCTAGCGGAGACCACCACTAGAGATATGTCTAAACTGTTTGATGAACAACGTGATATGCTTATGAAATCTGTGTTGCTGTTGCATCTTCTATTTCTTTGACATCCGATATTTGGTCCGTAATGCTAAAGAGGATTATATATCTGTGGTTGCTCATTATGTTAGTGCTGATTGGGAGTTACGAAAAAAAGTAATTGGTTTAAGGCTGATTGATGTTTCACATTATGGTGATAACATTGCTGATAGGATTGCTAGTGTGGTTGAGGAGTTTGGTTTGATAGACAAGGTATTTTCTGTGTCTCTAGACAATGCTTCTGCTAATTCTAGGGCATATGAGATTTTGCAGCCTATGTTCTTTGGTTATTTGGGTTCTTATCTCACACCTACCCCCATCGATCCTAACAAGGTGCGATTTACTTGTGCATCATTGTGCATGCCATATCATCAATCTTATTGTTAAATCTGGCATGAAGAGGTTGAAACCTTATACTGAAGATTTCAGAACTGCAATAAGTTTTTTAAATTCCTCTAATCAAAGAATTGCATTGTTTAAAAACTACTGCAAGGCTCAGGGTCTTAGACCTAGGAAGTTTGGCTTGGACATGGATGTTAGATGGAATTCTACTTTTTTGATGCTCAAACATTTGCTGCCATACAAAGAAGTCTTTGATGTGTTTATTACCTCTAATTATGGTTCTACTTTGTTGACTGCACAGCATTGGCATGTTGCTGAACAAATAATGATATTCCTAGAACTCTTCTATAACTCTACTGTTGTGCTGTCTGGGGTTTATTATCCCACAACTCCACTTGTTTTGCACCATATGCTTGACATGGCTGAACATTTGCAAAATGCTGAAAAAGATGCTAATTTTAGAATGATTGCTACTCCTATGAAGCTTAAATTCCTTAAATATTGGGAGAAAATTCCACTCATTTATTCATATGCATTCATTCTTGATCCTAGAGCTAAGATGAAAGGGTTCTTTAATGTGCTTGAATTGCTTGGTAAGGCAACTGGATGCATTTATAGTTCATACTATGCTGATGTAAAAGATGAATTGTATAAATTGTTTGGCAAGTATGAGACAGAAATTTGGTGCAATGAGGTCTCGAGAGGGTTTCAATCCCTTGACTCATCTTGGTAAGACAAAACAGGCATGGGGAAGGATCTTTGGAGGTCCCGGTGATTCCCCTGTCTCTTCTTCCCCTCACTCATACTCCATCTGTTGTTAGTGAGCTCAAAGCATACTTGGACAAAGGTGACCTGTCACATGTTATGAGGAATCCTTTGACATACTCCTCTCGGTGGCGTGACCACAAGCTAACTTATCCAATCCTCATCTATTATGGCTCGAGATATTATGTCCGTCCCCTGTGTCTCATCTCTCTTCCGAGTCCTGTTTCAATTTGTACATCCGGATACTCGAAGATCGGTGGCGGCGCTTGTTGCTGAGCATGTTGAGATGCTCACCGCATCAAGGACCGGGAGCAAGGTGCAAGAAGAGAACAACATACACCGAGGACCTGGACCTTGAGGAGGCATTCAAGAACCTCTTCCTCGATGATCAAAGGCGAAGGCGCGTGAGCTCCGACAGATGTCGTGGCGTGGCCAATCTTCTTGGTGTTGTTTGGGTGGATAGAAGAAGAAGAAGAGAAGATGAGAGGTAGTCACTCAACATTCAAGTTCCATTTTGCATCATTTCTTTACATTCATGTCTTCTTTGGTACTAACATTGCTTTGCTTGCGGGAACTTTTGGTGTGCTAGAGTGAGTCACTATGATCAATGAAGGAAGAACTTTGCCATTGATGACCTGATGTTGTAATAGGATAGAACTTTTGTTGTTCCCGCCTTCACGGCTTCCTATTGTCTGTGATCGTGAACTCACTAAGTCACAATGACTTTGCCATCGATGTTGGCTATCCTAATAGGATAGAAGTATAGAACTATAAGACCTTGACATTTAGAGTCTGGTCTGCACTCTTTTTCTCTTTCTAGGGTTTCTCACAAGGGTGAGTTTTACCTAGAAAGGTTTTTAATGAGGCAGCATTGCACAAAACAGCTCATTCTGAATATAAGTTCATCATCATATGATATGTCATCTGTGTGCTGTGTCTGTCTTCTCTCTTTTATGTGAAACTATGAACTATGAAAGAAGTGTGAACTTTGATTCTGTGAAGTGTGATTGTGTGAACTATGAAACTTTGATTCTATGAAGTGTGCATCATGGGCCATGGGCGGCACGGCCGGTGAAAATGGCCGTGCGTGCCACCGGGCGGCACGCACGACGACAAAAAAAAGCCACCCGGGCGTGCCATGGGCCGTTGGCCGAGCACGAAACGGCCTAGGCACAACACGGCGGCCACACGCACGACGGCCCGTCGAGGCACGATGCGTGCGTCTTGCGTCGCAAGACGCAACGCACCCGACGCCACCGGGCGGGCGCCACGGCCCGATGGCCATCTATAGCCCTGTTTGCTTGTTCATATGTTTACTTTTTCGGTCGATGAATAGTATTTTTTTCTCATAATAAATTAGTGAACGGTACTTTCAGCCATGGCTTATTAGCCAAGCAAACAGAGCAGTTAATGATGGTGGAGAATGGATCAACCAATCAGGTACATCCCACGCATAAGACACTCTTCCTAGGACGGAGGGAGCATCATGCCTGTGCTATGCCTATGCTAGGAACAGGAACGTTGATACAGGGCGAACGTCTCGTTGTAGCACTTGGAGCGTGTCCCAGGACGAGTGTCGTTCTAGCTCTGCATAGCCACTGACAACCCCACCCTAGCTAGGCTGGTAGCCTGGGATCCGCTCGCCCCCTCCTCCCACTCTCATCTCGTCTCGACATCCTCTCTCTCCTTTGCTCCACTAGAGCCGCCCACCGCTTCTCCTTCACCGGCGCCGCCACCGCTTCTCCTGCACCGGTGCTAACCTCCCCTTCTCCATCAGCGAGGCTACGGGCGGCCGAGATCCAGCCAGCACCCCCTCCTCTTCTCTACCGGTCCCTCTCTTCCCCTTCGCCGGCGTGGAGGCCAAGATCCCGCCCCGAGATTCTCTGCTCCTCCACCGGCGCCGCCTCCTCATCTCCTCCATCGGTGCCACCTCCCCCTTCTTCTCCTTCATTGGCATGGAGACGACGCTGCATGGCTTCACGGCCGAGATCCGGCCCGGCCCCATCCATGGCGATCGACGCGAAGGGGTCATGGGTGGCGGAGATTCGGCCCTTGCCTCCTCTGCATCTCCCACCCCCGCCGGCGGCCTCCCCTTCGTTCGCGTCACCGGAGAGATCGGGATGGAGCGGGCTCCGTTTGCGGCGCTCGATGCGGAGCGGACCGGCGGCGGGCCGCGGCTTCCCTTGCGGCGCTCGACGCGGAGCAGACCAGCGGCGGGCCACGGCCTCCCACTCGATGCGGAGCTGACCGGCAGCGAGCGCGGGCTTGTCTTGGCGGGCGCACCGGTGACTGCGGAGATCTGGAGGCCAGTGGGAGAGGGAGCAGAGAGAGAGAGAGAGATTGTAGGGGTATTTTGGTCTTTTTACTTTCTCTTTGGTTGCTGTGCCCCTTCCTGGAGTACACAATAACAATGATTATGTTCAGATGTAGGACACCCTATGGTTATGTTCAGATACAGGACATCCGATGTCTGAACCAGTATAAACTCGTGTCCTGTGTTATGTCTTTCATCTGCTATATAGAATAGTCTTATTACAAGTCGAATGCAAAGTCATCCATCTTTATTGTCTTACTATGGGCTATTTGGTAGGAATGATTTTGTGACAAATTGATTCTAAAATAAACTATATAGATAAAATGTGTTTCTATGCAATAAGTAAATCAGAGAACCATTAGAATTAGGCAATGACTTGGACATGGACGGTCACTTTTTAGGCAAAGTGCATGCTCAGGTGCGTCCACCTCTCTCTCTCTCAGTCGTCGACCTCGTGCTTTCCTTATCCTCCTCCTCACCTCTCTCTATCTCTTTCTCTCCCTCTCCTCCCCCCTCTCTCTCTCTCCGCAATGACCTCCTCTGGCGACCTCCTCCCCGTGCCCGCGCCTGCACACCACCTCCTCCCTACGCAGCTCCTCCCTCTCTTCCCTCCGGCGGCGGTGGCGGTTTCGGCAACAACGACGCTGGTGAGGTGGGCCTCCTCCTCCACCTCTTTAGGGTTCCAACAAACTCTCCCTCGCATATTTCCAAACTCCGACGGCCTTAGAATGAAAAAGGGGGTTTGGGGAGGAAGGCTAGTCAGACGGTGGTGAGGCAGACGGGCGGTTTAGGGGCCCTGGAGGTGGGGGCAGGGGGGATGGGGGGAGGTGGCGCTGTGGGCGCGCTAGGGTTTGGCCGGAGCTCGGCGGCCGCGGAGCTCCGACCAAAACCTAACGCGCTGCGGCAGGGCAGTGGACGGCAGTGGAGGCGAGGGGCGCCGGATAGGGAGAAGACGCCGAGAGGAGGGAGCACCGTGGGAGGAAGAACAGTTAACATTGTTGCAAAAAATAAAATAAAATAATAATTTGCACTTTTACTCTAAAATGACATAGCCGTGCGATCCGTCTATATTACGGCTACAGCTGGGTCCGCATGGAATCAATTCTTCTTTATAAAATACCAGCAAGTATTTTTAACAGGGAGGCGATTCAGGTACGGAGCTCGGCCGACCGTCCTACCGCCCACTTGAATCCGTAACGGATCTGCGCGCACCAGAATAGAGGATATATATTCAAGTTGGTACGCACCGAGTTCTAACACGGAGGCGACTTACGTAGTTCACGGCCCATATATCGCGTTTTTCCTAAAATCCCGCCGCCGCCTCCCCTCTTACTGCGCGCGGTGGTCCAAACCATATCAGCAGCGTGTCCTGATCGCCGTCGCCGCTGCCGCTGCCGCTGCCGCCGCCTGGAGTCCGGATCGGGTCCACCTGCATTGGTTAGTTCCCTAGCTCGTTCGTCGGTATGGAACGCCTGCTCCCTCCATTGGATCAGTTGATCCCTCGTTCTGTATATCGGCTCGATTAGCAGCCTATATATCTTTCTAGTCACCTGAACACCGTTGCCTCTGTGCAGGGACTCCCGAGATCCGACGAACATCTGCGGCATAGTTCCCACCACAGGAGACCGACCGAGCCCCGGCCTCCATTCTTGGACGAAACCATGGCTCGCAGAAAGGCAACCGCGGAGGAGCTCCGGAGGCTGAACAAGGCTCGTGAGTTCAAGCGAAAGAGAAACATGCTCAAGGCAGCAGGAGCAGGACCGGACAAGGTTGCTAGGGTTTACTACTTCTCTTTGTCATATTTTAACAAGTTCTTTCAGTAAGTATGTGGTATGTTATATATGTGCTAGGATTTCGGCCCAAACCTGCAGAGAAATTTTTTATGTTTAGAACTCCTGTTTGCGCCACATCTTCATTGCTCATCTAGTTTTTTTCTATTTCATAAGAGGTGGTCCAAAGAGGAGTTCTGGAGTTATGATTTAATCAATATTTTCTAATCTCGACCCAAACTTAGTCTGTTTATTAGCTACAAAAGTTGAAGCACGTCAAGATTGCAACATATATACGCCTTTTATTTGAAACTGATTCTCAGATTTTTCATTTTTATTGTCTTCTTCTTAAGTTTAGTATTCTTCTGCCCCTTTTTTTGCTTGTGTGTGGTTATTATCTTTTTGACAAAGCTAAGATTAATTTTCTCTTGTTTGCAGGGAGAGGATGTTTGTGCAATTTGTGACGATGGTGGTGATCTAACTTGGTAAGTGTACCCATTATAAAGTTTCACTGATATACTTCCCCTCCTTTACTTGGATAAATATCATATATTCTGCAGCAATGTGTGAACTAAATCCTAGTTCCATGCTTAATTATAATACTAATATATCCCTTTTTTGTTGGATGTTTTCAGCTGCGAAGGTTGTTGCCAGAGGGCTTTCCACCTTGATAACAAACATAATTGCATCAAAACACTTGGGCTAACTATAGAAGAGGCAAAGGTATGTCTACGTTTGAGTAGCCATGTTCTTTAAGTTTAATCTTTACTTTAATTTGTAAATATCTAAAACTGACAGAGTTGCTCCACGTTTCTCATTGATAATTCAGAACATAATTGAGAAGGAAGATTTTGTATGCAAGAACTGCCAGTACAAGCAGCATCAGTGTTTCGTTTGTGGATCGTTGGGGTCTTCAGATGACACATCATCACAACCTGAGGTAAGGGAGCACGACATATATAAGTGTTGATAATTTCCTTCTCAAAAAGGGCTTCAGAAAATTTTTATCATGTTTAGCTGAAACCTTTGAACTTCTTTTACCTCTGAATTATATAATTCTGATTTCTGCATTGCTTGCCAGGTTTTCCAATGTGAGCATGACGATTGTGCACGCTTTTACCACCCTAAATGTGTTGCTCAAATGCTATACCCAGATAACCACCATAGCCAAGAGCTTTTTGAGCTCCAGGTCGCTGCCGGAGAGAGATTCTCTTGTCCTATGCATGAATGTATTGTGTGCATGGAAGTAGAGAATAAGAATGATAAGAGTATGCAGTTTGCAGTCTGCAGACGCTGCCCAACTGTTTACCACCGGAAGTGCTTGCCAAGGTCTGTTTCCGATGATATACCTACACTTGGAGATGTATGCAGGAGACTTTTTCCTAACAGTTCGTATACCTTTTTGCAGTGATATCCTTTTCAAACCGAAGAAAGGTCCCAAGGGTGCCATGCGAAGGGCGTGGAAGAACATGCTTCCGGGTCGAATTTTGATATTCTGCATGTATGCTAATTTCCATACCTTCCATCACTCATATGCATACCACTCTTCTCCCGTTACCTCTGTTTTGACCTCCAGCGTTACTGAATTTTGTGAACCTTTTTTACAGGAAGCATGAGATCGTAAGGAAACTACAAACTCCTGCAAGGAATCATATCATCTTTCCTGAAGCCAATGTGCTGAAAACGTTTCAAGCTGCACCCATGGAACAAGATATGCCTGAGCAAAAAGAGGCACCGGACCACTCGTTGCCGGTGCAAATCCACTCGCCGCCTCCACCGGCTGCAAGCGACCAGAATCAGTGCTGCTGTTCTAGCCCTTTCGACTCATTTGCTCCAAGTTCCTTGTTCATGCATCCGCATCCAGGCTCCTGTGGTTGGCTCGACGACTGACCATCCAGGCTCCTGTGGTTGGCTCGATGACTGATTATACAACCTATCTGCCCCTTGTAGAGAGAAGAAAACACCTGTTACAGGTCCTTTTGCAAATAGACAAGCTCGTGTTGGATTGGATGCGAGAAAACCTGAATTCTCTGTCGTTGTAGTTATAGGAAACACTTTGTTTTAGCTTGTACCTTGTTGCCATGCCCAAATCACATGTAGGGGGGAAACGTAGTAGACAAATCTATAAGTGATCAGCGGGTCGATCGGAGTGTACTTTACATCTGTCAAGAGGAACTTCTATTGATCATGAGGGCTCTATGCCGAATCTAAGTACATACTCCCTCTCCTATCCAAATAATTTTTTTGATATAATATTATATAAGTTGCAAATCTAGGTACTAATTACAAAAATTGCAAAATGTTCAGCACTTCGAAGCTAATAAGGGACTAATAATATCCAAATGGGTAGCCAATAGGTACCAATCGGTAGCCCAAGCATCGATAAGTGGTGCCATGTGGTGACTCAAATTCTACTTGTTGGACTAGGACTCAAAGAGAGCTGTGATACTAGGATTTCTAATTCTATTAGGACTTCATTGTAGAATCATACTAGGAGAGTAGGAGTAGAACTCCTACTTGCATGTATGAAGATCTTGGAGAGTACTAAGAATGAGCGCGTAGCTCAGTGGCTAGCGACTCGGACTGTGAGCGCCCGAGTTCGATCTCAGGGATCGCAACTCGGGTGTCTCACCTGTCTCACCAGGGCATGCCCCCAAAATAAATTGTGTTGCCTCCTCATGTGGTGCCACAATTGTCAGAATGATGTGCCCGTCATCTACGGAGCCCTCGATGACTTTGTCGATCTCACTAAGGACATGATCTTCAAGCTGCGTGTAGTTGTAGATCTTAATATGTGCGTAGGGGTGTGAGTGTGTGTTGGTATATTTAAACGCACACAGATAAATCCGTAAGTGCACGGATACCGATATAGCACTTCACCGGAAAGTATTCCAGAATATCGAACTCAAGGAAACGTGTGTGAATTTAACTAAGTCTAACTTAACCCGGAGTAGCAACAAGGCTTAAGATAAACAGGAGCATAGAGAGGATCACTAGGGTTTTCTAGTTCTAACTTCGGTAAGTTATGTCTTCTACCGTTCAACTGAGGATATTACTAAGGAGAAACACATGCAGAGTATGTTTTCCTAGTAACCAGGTCCTACTCGACCTACAAACAGGAAATGGTCTACGAAGGACTCAACAAGGCTATAAGTCACCCTTGCGATTTACCACCGATCCGGAATATAGGGTACATTCACGAGTAACCGAGTCTAAACACCACGCTTCCACTACGAATACTACTCTAACCCAAGAACGACAAGGATTAAAGTACTAAAAAAGAGTCGCAAACTTGAAGAACAATATAAACAAAATACTTACTTGAATCAGAAGTTGATTACCAGAGAAATCTCAAAAGCAAGCTCAAGAAGAACTTGATTCCGTCAGGGTACAAGCCATAGAGAGAGCACCGACAGGCCGACACTTCCTCCAAACTCTTCCCTCACTCTCTATCTTACTATTTCTAGTTACAAAGACTAGATCCTATCTTGGAGGACTAATCTTCTCTTGATTGCTGGCTCTGATCCTGATGGAGAGGATATGAATTGCGGCTTAGGGTTTCTGAATATCAGGATGGCTCTGCTGGAGGAGGTACAGGGGCATATATATAGGGGGTACGTCAATTCTAGACCCTCGGATCAAACATACCTTGAGCAACGGCGTAGATTTGATCTTTAAGGCGGTGAAGAACCGACATTCGAAGGAGGGGTTGATTGTGGGGCCCACTGGCCAGGCGGCCCCACATGTCAGAGACACAGGGTCTGCCATGGTGGTTTGTCTTATGGAGTCTTTTGGAGTCTTCCTAAGTTGGTTTCATCGCGGATAGCCGTGATTTACTTTGACGAATAGGTCCTCCTTGACGGTTTTCTAATTAAATCCTCCTGTAGTTAATAAATCACCAAAACTTGTGGAACTCATTAGTTTAAAACATTATGCCTATGTTGGTGATCCATTTTAGTTATTTACGCAGGGTATATTGACGGTTTATGATTGACATTAACTACCGTTAACAAGCTCCCCCACACTTAGGCTTTTACTCATCCTCGACAAAAGGATGGATTACTTAAAACTTAACCTTGGGATAAGACATCAACATAAAACTATTCCCAGTCATGCATGTACTGCAGGATTCAAAGTGTCTACCATGAAACTTTGGGCGGTTGAAGAATGGAACAGCTTGAAACAGATCACCATCTTCCTTTAGTCAAGTTAATTGGAGAAACATTTTAAGATTTTTGAAAACAAAACATAGCTTACCTTCTCCTTTTGTGGCACTCTCAAATCACTCAATATATGTGGTATTTGTGGATCCTCACCAAGGCATAGTTAACTTTGCATTGTTTTTACCTACTTCTAAAGGTCTATGTGGAGCTCAGGTAGGAATAAATATGAGACACATACTTATATTACATATATTGTAAAGTCAAAATAAGGATCCAAGGAGAAAAATATTATACTCTTAGATCAAGATGTGCATGTGTGTGGATGTATATATATGGTGGCTAACCTAATTCTACAATGTTCCTTGGGACATATCTCTCTTGTTTGAAACTTGAAAACACTTTTGAAAGAAATCATGGGCTATCTTATTCATTTCTTCTCTTTTTTCTTTTTTTAGGCGGGCATCTAAGTACCTATTATTTTAGATATCTCGGACACTTGTCCATTTTTTTTCAACTCTCTCTTTTTTTTTTGCATAGCCCATGCCTCTTTTCTACAACAGAACTTTTTCAAGCGAGATATTTACAAGAACTTGGAGTATTTATTCGGTGAAATCCTAACAAACATATTTTTGTGTCTATTCCCAGTGTTGGAATAGAATATTTTTTGGGTGGATGGAAAACATGTTTTTGCATACTCCTAGTGTAGGAGCAGCACATATATGTGGAGTGTATGTGATCTTGATCTTGAGAGCATGATAAGTTTCTCAACAAGGGTCACAAGGTTTGACCAAACTCAATACAATAACAAGTAGTATATGTAGAAGGTTTTCCTAGTCTATCATATATGGCTTTGGTAGGACTTTTGCTTTACCACAAAGGAGATGTGTAGCTATTCTTTTAACTTTTTGAAATAAAATTCTCCAATAACGAGAGATCAAGAATAAAGTTCTCATTATTCTACTATATCTCATTCCACAATAACTTAAGTAACATGGGGTCCCTATAATAAGTTCCCAACATTAGCAAGACTTTCAGGAAAAGTATTATGTGAATCTATCCTTCAAGTCATGACTGAAATAATCTTTATTTCTATTTTAAAAGTTGTTTATCAAAGGATTTTTAGTTCGGTTCGAAACAGAAAGCGGGATAGGTGAAAATAGATCATACGGGACTCAAACCTGACCTTGGATGAAGCATGGTGTGAGGTGGTGCTAGGCTGGGCTAGCCGGCCCATGTAGGTGGCCTTCCCCCACACTTGTTTCCTATTTACCTTTATGCACAACATGTGGTGAAAAACACATATCTAAAATAGAGAGCAGATAATAGCAACAAGATTCCATTGATATCATAAGGCACTTTATTACAATCTCAACCTAAACAAACTTTAACTAGCCAACACAATCTTTAACTAAAACAAACTAATCAAACGACCTAAACAATCGACCTAAGCGTGACTTATCGATCAACATCTAACTCTCAATTCTTATATTTGTCCTTATTGACAACATAGCGGCGAAGGATAGTGAGCTCGTATTCTAGATCCTTGCGATAGATATGCCCTTGGTCAATCCTATGCTACAAAGCATGGTTGGCCAAGGTAAGGTCTTTGATCTTGTTATTTAGAATTGCAATGGTCATCTATTGGCGCTTCTCATCATTCTCTTGGGTAGGCGGTGGCGCCCTCTTCTTCTTCTCTTTAGGCGGCACAACCTTGACTTGCTCCGATGCAGCCCGAACACCATCGATTGTAACCTGAGGCGTGACCGACTTGTACTTGGCACATGTGACATCTCCAAACTTGTTGGTTCGTACCCTCGTCAGTGTCTCGTTTGGCTTGGGCATAAGGAGGTTGATCTCCTTGTGCACCTTGATAAGCTTCGGTGCCTCAAGTTGACAGAATAACGGCTCCCGCTGACATGGCTTGTCTTCAAGAAGTAGACGTGGCGGCGGCGGAGCGATCATCGGATGACGAATCACTTGGGTGAAGTAGGACTGGCTAGGGGGGACGGAAGCTATCTCTCGTGGTGGAACGACGCTCAACGTTAGAGCATCGGCCTTCTTGTTGAGATCAACTCCGAAGGGGACGATCTCTCTTCCGGCCATTGGAACTAAGGAGGAGGAAAGCTTCTATGCTGCTAGAGATGGAAGGCTTGTTGGGATGGCTTTGGAGGCTAGCAGGGGCTTGTTTATATAGGGGGGAGATATGGGCAGCAAGGATCAAGATCTATCAATAATGGCTCTCGTAACAACAGATGATCGAATGACTCGGGAATCTAGAGAATTCTACTGGATAATTATGGAAGGTTTGTGAAACAATTGAGCGGAGGGCAGGAGACAGATAGGTGGGCCGGGCGGCCCAGTAGTAGGCCGACCGGCCTCTCCTAGCGCCGCCTCACGGTCTCATTTTTTGTTTTGCCTCCTAATGCTTATCTAATCCCGAGAAACATATTTTTGCGTTACAAATTGTAAAAAGGAGGGCAAAGGTGAATATCTATGGCAAAATAATGAAATCTATTTAATCTAAATCCTCTGCATATTTTTTAGGTTCTAGAAAGATCTTAAGACAATGACCATTTACCTTGAATATCGTACCTTTGTCATTTTGAAGTGTTACCGCTCCATGCGACGAAGTGCTTATGACTTTGAATGGTCCTTCCCATTTACTCCGAAGCTTTCCGTGCCCAAATAATTTCATCCTAGAATTAAAAAGTAATACCTTATCCACTA